GTGGGCCATGGCAGCAAGGACCACACAGCTCAACTTCCACATCACCGGGGCTGGCATGGGTGGTGGAGGCCGCACTAGTCTGCACATGGCTCCCTGGGGCTGTTGGGGATAGCGGCCAGGTGGTAACTCCCTGGGGCTGGTTGGGGTGGTCGGGACATGGTGCCTGGTCAGTGGATCATTGGGGCTGGCGGATCCCTGGGGCTGGCCCAGGGCAGCTCACCAGCATAGGAACCTTCCATGTGTATGGTGGCTAGCAACATCCAGAGCCCGACCTCCATTGGGTCACTCGCCTACTGGTGTGCCCCCCTCTCCCCCTTGGTCATTCTGTAATATAATTTTGCCTGCTAGCAGACCCCTTCCTTTGTGTTTTATGAGAAACAATCATATTCCAGGCAAAACCTATTGTCCTGGCACAACCAAACCGTACCACGTGGTGGTCCTAGCTCTCAAGTTTAGGAGGCGTTCTTCAACAAACAGACTCACAGACACACAGACTCTCTCAGAGATGTAGTAGACTAGCGGTCTTGCCCGGCATTGTCCAGGTCCTTCAGGGCAGGGTCTTGAGTTGTGGGGGCGGGGTGCAGGAGGCTGGGGGCCAGGGTCATGTTCTCTCCCCAGACCTGCCACGCCCCTCTGCCCACCTGCCCAGAGCTTGTTCTCCCCCTCCCTCCACTCCTCCAGCCACCCTCCATCCTTCCTGGGGCCTGTTCTCTACCCCACCCACCAGCCATCCTCCCAGCATGCCAGGGGCCTGTTCTCTCCCTCCTGCGGTGCTGAGTTAAAGGCTGGGGAGGGGGAAGGGTTTGAGGTAGGGGGTTGGCAGATCCCCATCTCTGCTTGCCATTCCTTTAACAGCACCCTAGTGGCCACTCTAATATTGCGTCCCTCCCAACAGCAGCCCCTCCCTTTGCACAGTATGGAAAACTGTCCCTTTCTCGGGGCTTCCAGTTGTCCAGGCACAACCAAACCCTGACCTTGCCATGTGTAGGGGCTCTTTGGGGTCCTTACCCCAGTGTAATAATCTACCTTTGCTGAACACCCCATCTTTAGAGTAGGCCTGTCTGGAAGAAACATTATTCCTGGCTCATCTTGTCATCTCCACCCACCAGCCACACCGTTCTTCCGCGTCTCCACAGGGTTTATATTTTGCTTCACTGCCGCTGCAGCAGGTCTCTGCCACTGTCACAAAGAGCTACTCTCCTGAGCAGTAAACCACTCTTACGTGTTCCCGAGCTCCCATAATAAACTTTTGGGGATGACATTTTTATAGGTGACAGATGAGATACCTTGATGGATGAGCAGACACCGTTAGCCATCATTGCTGTGCTCTATGGTACTAATGGCTTCGCAGCAGCTTCGCTTTCATTTTTCTTTCCCTTTTGTTTGTTCTGAGCCACAACTTTTGGAATGCCAAAGCAAAATGCTCCGAGGCAGCAGCTGGAGCTTGAAATTAATAATAATAATAAAAAGTAGTTGAGCTGATGTTCGGAATCTAGTCATGCTATCAGCTGTATTTGTCTCAGAGAACATTGCTCCTTGGGATTCAGCTGATTTGCATTCTTGGTTTTGGTGGCTATTTAGATGCAGCATTAAGCGACTGCACAGGTGAAATTTCAAGCGAGGAAATACAGGCGGGCGAGAGGTGGGTTAAAGCATTGTTAAGAGATTAGCGTGCGCGCAGTATGAAATTCACCCTGTGCCGAGTGCTGGCACAAGAGCTACACACCACTTAAGCCCCTGCTTGGGAACAAATATTCAAAATTGTAAAGCAATGGGGTTCCGCATGCATCGGTCTCGTGCCGAACTGCTGCCCAGGGTTAATTTCGACCTTCTGAAATAACGCATGCTGCATTTCTTATTACATGCAAACTCTGTCAATAGCAACACAGCCAGTTGTTTGGTGATGTCTGTGCCCACAATGGAAATCGATTAACATGCCAATTTTCATAGAGCAGCTGTTTTGAGTGATCTGTCCAGGAATGGGAAAGCTGGGGAAATGGGGTGATTTTTCTAAAGAGGAGATTTTGTTTTCTTCATCAGTCTCAAAAATGGCTGCAGGGTTTTACTCAAATGTTTCCAAAACATCAACCTTTGTGCAAAGACCAAGCACAGAGCATATTTCAGCTCACAAGGTGACTCTTGCAGAACTTTTCAAGCCAGGGAACAGATGAGGTTATCATTTAAACCTCACTGCTTAAGCTGCAGGGCTTGTTCCGGTTCCACCACCAGACTGAACGAGAGAGGGTCGGGGTAATTTCCCTGCTTCTGCGGGAGTCTAGCCCCTCTCTGGATACTGCCAAGTAATCTCTGCCATGGATGATTTATTCCAGAGGTTCAGGCGCATTCTCCTGAGAAGCAATTTGTTTTGAAATGGGTTGGTTGACACCAAATGGCCAAGTATTTTCAGAAATTCCTTGCCGAAAAAAGCATCCTAGGCGTCCCTAAAAAGTCATCCACCCACCCCCTCCTCCTTCAGATTACCGCATGTTAGAGAGAAGTCATCAAGAGGTGCTGTTATACGTCATCTTAGCCATTCTTTTCCCTAGCGTGCATGCACTGTGCACTCTTTGAAAAATGCTGAATTGTTGGTAGCAGGGAGAGCTGGTTCTTTTCAGGAGGGCTGTTGCAAGCAGCAGGGGGGAGACTTTGCCCTCTGCCTTAATCTCTCTAACTCAGGGATGGGCAAAGGCATCTCCATGGGCCGGATTCAAATCACCAGGCGGGTTGATCGGGCCTGCGGCTGCCCTGCCGCTCCCCCGCCCCCAGGCCGATTGAGACCTGGGGACGAGGGAGCGCGTGAAGTCTCCTCCTCCCTCCAGGGGAATGCATCACCAGAGGGAACCATGCGTCCCTGGCAGGGGGAGAAGATTTCGCATGTTCCCTCCCGGCCCCAGGCATATCAGGGCCTGGGGATGAGGAAGTGTGCAAAGTCTCTCGCTACCCACCCCGCCCTGCCAGGAAGGAATTGCACACCCTAGTGGGGCGGGACGGGAAAGCCAGAGACTGCTCCCTCGCCCCCAGGCTCGCAGTGACTGGGAGGCATGGCACAGCCAGGGGAGGAGAAGCGAGGCACCTCCCAAACTAAAAGGAAAGCCTCCCTTCAGCCCCCCTCCTGACGTTACTGCTTTCTTGGGGGGGAGTGCACCCCCTGATTGGCCTGGGAGCAAGGGAAGTCTCCTCACACCACCAGCTGTTCTCAAGACGCCGGGTGTCCCTGGCAGGGTGGGGGACAAAGACTTCACACGCTCCCGCACCCGCAGGCAATCAGGCTCTGTGGGGAGGGGAGCTCTCGAAGTCTCCTGGCCCCGCCCCTTCTGCCTGAGGCCCCACCCCTTCCAGGGCGGCCCGTGACCACTTCAGAAATTCACAAAGTGGGCCCCTTTCAAAAATGATTGCCCACCCCTGCTCTAACGAGGCGATTCTTCGAGCAGCGTTTCTCTGTGGGAACCAGGCACTGGCATTGGGTGGAAATTCCTTGGTGATGATTGTGAACACTTCTGTTCAAAGACAGGTGAGTAGCATCCAGATCAGGGGTGGGCAAGATACAGCCCACCAAGCCATTTGATCAGGTCTGTGGACACCCTGCCACTCCCGCACCCCCAGGCCAATCGATTCCTGGGGGCAGATGAGTGTGTGAAGTCATTCGCTGTTCAGAATGGCTGGTGGTCCCCTCTAGGCACCACGCGGCCCTGGCAGAGCAGGGGACTTCATGTGCCCCCCCTACCTCTAGGGCCCCTCCTTCAATCCACTCCTCTAGGCCCTGCCAGGTGAGAACAACTCCTTTCCACCTAAGGTCCCACCCCTTCCACCTGAGGCACTGCCCCTTTCAAGAGAGTCGGCCCGTGGCCACTGCCAAAATTCATGAAGTGGCCCCCTCCCCGCAAAATTATTGCCCACCCCAAAGCAGATAAAACAAGCTATAACATGAAAGGACCCAGACACTACATCATGGCTACGTCTAGACTGGCATGATTTTCCGCAAATGCTTTTAACGGAAAAGTTTTTCCGTTAAAAGCATTTGTGGAAAAGAGCGCCTAAATTGGCACGGACGCTTTTGCGCAAAAGCACTTTTTGTGGAAAAGCGTCCGTGCCAATCTAGACATGGTTTTGCGCAAAAAAGCCCCAATCGCCATTTTTGCCATCGGGGCTTTTTTGCACAAAACAGTTTTTAGCTGTCTACACTGGCCCTCTTGCGCAAAAACATGTCCGGAAAAGGGCTTTTGCCCGAACGGGAATGTCAGGCATTTGCGCAAGAAGCACTGATTTCAGACAGTAGAACATCAGTGCTTTTGCGTAAAATCAAGCGGCCAGTGTAGACAGCTTCCGCATTTGCTTTTGCGGAAAAACTTGCCAGTCTAGACTCAGCCCATTTGTTTCTCCTTCCATAGGGAAACTGAGGGCTGCTACCTGTTAGACACATGACTATATGGTCGATAAAGTCACTGAGCCTAACTCCCTGTTGTCCTGTTGTTTACATCAGTGTACAGTAGGGATAAGCCACCTTGGACCGGAACAGTAGCACTTTACATGCAATTTGTGGCAGACTCCATAGGATGCGTGGGAATAGCGCATGTGGCCTGGTCTAGTTCTCAGGAATAAGGGGCAAACATTGCTATCCTACGGCTCTTGTGATGAGTGTGTGAAGTGGTGTTTACTGCTGCCTGGAATATGATATCCAGAAAGACATTACAAATAGCCACACTCCTCATCCCTTCTCCCCTCCTCTCAGCAAACACACTTCCAGAGTATGGGGTTTAAACGCCTTAAGGGAGGAGAGAAAGACTTGGGTGAACCCTTTGTTAAAACGACAGCAGTGCTTCACTTCTGAAACTGACGTGCAACTGTCTAGTACTCCTTCCCCATCCAACAGTAGAAGATGAGAGCAAGAGAGGCACACGCAGACACAAACGACTGATTTCCTAGTACTACGGAACAAGGCAATTTATTAACTCCGGGGTTCTGGCCCCATTCCAATCTGACTAATTGCATTCTGTCTCCCGAACTCCGCCGTCATTCCAAATGCAAAAGTGATTCTTCGTTTCCTGTCCCGAACCCGTCAGTCATCACTCCGCAGGTCTGTGCTCCGTTGTTGCGGCTCGTTTCACTCAAAAGGGAGAGATGTCTTCTCTAGGAAAGCCACCTCCCCGTGCACCTTCTCTGGTGAGAAGCCCTCCAGCTCTATCAGCTGTTTTTGGTTTCCTGTTTTCAGTATTCCTCTGCGCTCTGGAGGGAAATCAAGAGGAGAAGGGTTAGAAAGAAGAGAGAAGTAGCTGACCTTACAGCCAATCTGTGAATGAAACACCCTGTGGTGTTTTGCGGGGTGGAACATGGGGCACGGAAGATGAACTTTATTCCAACTGCCCATCCATTACAGTGGTCTTCTCATTTTGTTTCACTGCACCCAACACAAGAGAAGCCATCTGAACCAATGGCAAATGGCAAGTTACAGTGGCGGTCCATACTTCCTTAGGATGACACACTTCAGCCCATTTACTTGGTGAATCCCAGAGAAAATGAGCGACGGCAAGTCCTGTGTCTCTCCTCATGGCTGGCTGCGGCCTAGCAGCTCTTTTTTGTTTGACTCTCTCTGCCGACAGCTGTTCCAGCCCTGCTGTGGACTCTCTCCTCTTGACCCAGCCCTCTCGACAGGTCTTTCCCCTTCCAGGGTATCAATGTGCCAGACTGACAGTGTCTCACTCAATACTGGGGACTGATAAGTTGACATCTGTCCTTCCAGGGCCCCTCCTTCAATCCATTCCTCTGTCAGAGTCATGGCTCCCTTATTTAACCAAACTCAAAAGCAAAATGCAAATCACGGTGCAAGCAGATTCTGTGCCCTCACATGCCCTCGCACGCCCTTCATTCTGGGCATCTGGCACATACCAGGGGACAATCCAGGCTGATGAGCAGCTGTCTCCCCACCCTGCAACCTCGGGGGCTTTGCAATGTCTCCCACCTGGGCTGCTCACAAAGATCAGCGTGCAAGCCACACCCTGCATGTTTATCTCCCTGCCAGCCACCCTTTGGTTACACTCGGGCTCTCACCAGCCTGGGTTCTACTTCAGGGTGACCCCAACACACCCCACTCTTGGATTGTCCCCCAGAATTGTGTGGCATCTGCTGGGCATGCACGTTCTATTTCATCTGTTTATTCTTTTAAGAGAATAACATGCACATAACCTGCTCCGCCCCCCCACAAAAGAGTTCCCTGGACACTTCACTTTAAACACGCTGGATTAGATAAAGCTCTAAAACAAGTTTAGTAACCACAAAGAGAGATGTTAAAGTCAGTGCAAGTTGGACCTCCCTGATCTGGCATCATCAGGGCCTGGCCGGTCCCGAAACAGGGAGTTTGCTGGACCTCTACTGCTGACCACCAGACTCTGCTTCCAGCAGCTGGCCCCCAGCCCCAGCCTCTAGGCTCCAGCCCCACCCCCCCAACCCAGTCCCTGAGCTCCAGCCCAGGCTGCCGGCCCCAGGACTCTGCTCCCAGCTGCAAGGCTCTGCTCCTGCTGCTGGCCTGGCCTCCAGCACCAGCCACTGGGCTCCACTCCCGGCTCCCAGCTCCCTGCTCCCGATTGCTGGCTCCCTGCTCCCAGATCCACCGGGCTCTGTTCCCAGCCATCGGCTCCCTGCCCCTGATCCCAGCCAGGTTCTGCTCCCAACCACCAGCTCTCTGTTGAGCTCTGGCCACAAGACTCCGGTCTCCAGCCCCAGCTGGGCTTCAGCCACCAGGCTCCTGCTTCGGCCTCTATCCCTGGCCAGACTCCAGCAACCAGGTCTGGACCCAGCCAGAGCCTGGGTCCTGGCCCTCAGCCCCTGAGATCTGCTCCCAGCTGCAGGCCCCAGTCTCCAGGCTGACTTCCTAGCTGCCACCCATCTCTCTCTTCCATCAAAATCTGTGGTCCTGCGGTGCTCTATTTCCTGTGAATGCTCCTGTCCCGGAGCACCCATGGGATCCCCTATGATGCTGGACCACTGATGTTGCCAGACCAGTGTCCCAGACTAGAGAGTCAACCAGTACATGTAATGAGGGATAAGAGTCAGCAATTATACAAGAATAATAAAGGTAAGATATTGCTAGCATCTAATCAAACAGACTATATCAGATTCAAGCAAAGTATCCCACCACATGTTTCAGCAGCCCATACTGATCAAACCTCGCAGGTCAGGACCCTCTCCCCCAGCTTCCTTTTGTGGCTTCAGACGCTGTGAATGTAACAAGCAGTGGCAGGGATGAGTAGGGGGGTGCCTGGTGGTGTTCGTCCCTCTTTTTTATATTCTCAATCCCTCTCTTGAAAGATTTCCAGCTCTGCATTAGGAGCCAAACGTTCCATGTGGAAAGATGTTCCTTGGTGATTTTTCCTCATTTGTTTGAGCTTCCTTTATTTCCTTTCCAGCTTGAGGACTGTTTCCTGCCTGCATGCAAATTACACAGAGCACCCCTACCTTTGTGTAGGACAGACCTGTTTGCCAACCTCTGTTTTGAGTTGGGACATGTGTTATTCACACCATACGAAGGACCTTATACCTTTTACAGTGTTGTCACACATTGTATCAGGCTGATACTGACCCGCAGATTATGAGTTGTCAAGCGTTGTACAAAAACCTTTACAACAGAGTGTAGGGTGTGAATCCAGGGGTGCATTTTGTCACAGCTTTAAATTGTCTTTATCCCCTTATGTCCTGGGGCTTCATGCCACCTTCCCAGGTGTTGGTCAGGGAGCATAAGAACGGGTCTACCCAAAGGCCCATTTAGCCCAGTATCCAGTCTTCTAACAGTGGCCAATGCCAGATGCCCCAAAGGGAACGAAAGGAATAGGTAACCATCACGTGATTTCTCTCCTGTCATCCATTCTCTCTCCTGTTATTCATAACACAGGGTTTACCTCTGCACTCCAGGAACCGTAGGCCAATCAGCCAAGCTTTGCTCCATCAGATGCCTTGCAACTACCTCTTACCGTTAGCCTTTCTTCAGACCTTTTCTTCAGCCCTTTCCTGGGCTCTTGGCAACAAGCATCATCTCCCAGGTGTCTAATTCCTGCCCTTCGGTCAGGGTCAACTGCAGTAACATGATGAAATCCTGTGTCCTTCACGTATCTTCTCTATCTGGGCTTCCTCTTCACCCTACAGGAATGTTCCTGTTCCCCCAACTCTCTCCATTTTCAAGACACTCTACAGCCAAGAAAGTCACTGCCGAGTTCTTACTTCTCTTCTCTGTCATCTTTGAAAAATCACGGAAGCCAGGAAAGATTCCAGAAGACTGGAAAAGGGCAAATATAGTGCCTATCTATAAAGGGAAATAAGAACAACCCAGGAAACCTCAGACCAGTCAGTTTAACTTCTATGCCAGGAAAGATAATGGAGCAAGTAATTAAGGAATCCATCTCCCAACATCTGGAAGATAATAAGGTGATAGGTAACAGCCAGCATGGATTTGTAAAGAACAAATCATGGCAAACCAATCTGAGAGCTTTCTTTGATAGGATAACGACTCTTGTGGATAAGGGAGAAGCGGTAGATGTGGTATACTTAGACTTTAATAAGGAGTTTGATACAGACTCACATGATCCTCTTATCAATAAACTAAGCAAATTCAACTTAGATGGGGCTACTATAAGGTGGGTGCATAACTGGCTGGATAACCATTCTCAGGGAATAGTTTTTAACAGTTCACAATCCTGCTGGAAGGGCATAACAAGTGAGGTTCCACAAGGGTCTTTTTTGGGATGGGTTCTGTTCAATATATTCATCAACAACTTAGATATTGGCATAGAGAGTACGCTAATTAGGTTTGCAGATGATACAAAGCTGGGAGGGGTTGCAACTGCTTTGGAGGATACGGTCATAATTCCAAATAATCTGGACAAACTGGAGAAATGGTATGAGGTAAATAGGATAAAGTAATAAGGACAAATGCAAAGTACTCCACTTAGGAAGGAACAATCTGTTTCACACATTCAGAATGGAAAGCGACTGTCTAGGAAGGAGTAATACAGAAAGGGATCTATGGGTCAGAGTGGACCACAAGCTAAACATGAGTCAACAGTGTGACGCTGTTGCAAAAAAAGCAAACATGAATCTGGGATGCATTAACAGGTGTGTTGTGAGCAAGACACGAGAAGTCATTCTTCTGCTCTACTCTGCGCTGATTAGGCCTCAACTGGAGTATTGTGTCCAATTCTGGGCACCACATTTCAAGAAAAATATGGAGAAATTGGAGAAGATCCAGAGAAGAGCAACAAAAATGATTAAAGGTCTATTGAACACGACCTATGCAGGAAGATTGAAAGAATTAGGCTTGTTTAGTGGAAAGGAGAAGACTGAGAGGGGACATGATAGCGGTTTTTAGGTATCTAAAAAGGTGTCATGAGGAGGAGGGAGACTAATTGTTCTCCTTGGCCTCTGAGGCTAAGAGAAGAAGCAATGGGCTTAAATTGCAGCAAGGGAGGTTTAGGTTGGCCATTAGGAAAAACTTTCTACCTGTTAGCGTGGTCAAACATTGGAATAAATTATCTAGGGAGGTTGTGGAATCTCCATATCTGAAGATATTTAAGAGCAGGTTAGACAAACGTCTATCAGGGATGGTCTAGATGGTGCTTGGTCCTACTGTGAGGGTACGGGACTGGGCTCAATGACCTCTCAAGGTCCCTTGCAGTTCTTGTGTTCTATGATTCTCAGGGGATTGGAATAAAACTGACTATCTTGGTCTACACTACAGGGGGATTCCGACAAGCCAGGGCAATCCACACTGGCCCACTTAGGGGTGGCTTTATTCCTCCTTCACAGCAGCACTGTTGAAATGGCCCAAAATGTCACCACAACACTTCTACCTTCCCCTGGCCGGTCCCATGCAATGCCACTAACTTATATACCTCCCACTCTGCGTTGCCTCTGCTCCCTGCTATTAACAGCAAAAATGTGATGGGTGTCTGAGACCAGCACCATGACTGCATAAAGCTGGTTCATTTTCTTCTTCTTTTTTCCCCCCCTCAGTAAACCAGTATGCCAGCATAAACTGAATATTTGTTGCAGACCATTGTTCAAGGCTACAATGCGCATGGGAACTGTAGGTGACCAGTTATTCTCTAGCGCCATAGAAAACAGCATCTTTTTTTTTTTTTAATAGATCAAAAGCAGTAGCAGGTATTCAGCCATTTCCATTATGTGTCTACTCACATTAAGTCGGGTGAAGACGTGTGACACTGATACAGCACAATGTGGCCCGCATTAACCTGTGAAACAATAAGATGCATCAGAATGCGGCGAGTGAAAGAGGAGTGTTTCCTTTTTAATCAGATGCTGTACAGGTATGTGACTAAAATGAAGACAAGCCAAATGGCAAGCACAAGTTTTAAATAGCGCTACATGAACAATGGATCTTGACGGATAGAAATGCATTATGCTGCCGGTCCCGACGCCAGCTCTTATTTTTTGAAGTTGTGCCAACTTAGAGAAAAGTATTGCCTCTGACAAGCTAAAACTGACAACTAAATAGCAAAGATACACACTGCAGCTATCTAGAGCGGAGTAATGTGGGGAGAATGGGATACGTCTCTGTTATTTCGGGAGCCGCATTCTGCTCTCAATATACTGTGCAATCCCATTCAAGCCAGAGTTCCGGTGCCCAACCTCTAAGCCTTCTGGAAAATCATAGAATCATAAAACCATAGATCTGGAAGAGACCTCAGAAGGTCATCAAGTCCAGCCCCCTGCTCTAGGCAGGACCAGTTCCAACTAAATCAACCCGGCCAGGGTGCCAGGGTTGAACACCCCCTTTCTGCCACAGGAAGAAACACACAAGGAAGTACACAAGTCCTGTCAAGACAGGCGATCGAGCCAAGCAGCCATGGTAGAAAAGGGTTTTCTGCCTGGGTGGGCAAATTACAGGAGTCAAAGAAGAACCAAATTGGTCACAGCTGCTCTCCAGTTGCTGTGCAAGTCAGAGCTCTCCTGTCGGGGTTAGCGCAGTCTAATAGAGGGGAGAGTGGCAGGTTTTGTTGCCATCTCCAGTAGAGTTGCAGCTCTCTAAACCGGGACTGTGTGATCCGGCAACATCAGAGGGACCACGGAGGGACCAGAAGGACCACGGATGTTGCCGAACCACAGTGTCCGAGTGGAGGGCTGGCAGCTGGGAGTCCTGAGGTCTGGCAGGGCAGCAGGCTGCTGGCAGCAGGGCTACACTGTGGCTCCTGGCATGTGGCAACAGAGCTGCCTGGCAGGGCTGGGATGCCTAGTAAGGCCAGCAGGGTGGGGTGCTGGTGGCAAGGGAGCCAGCCAGGAGGCTGATAGCTGGACCATGGCTGGAAGGCGGTAGCAGGGGGCCAGAAAATGACCTCCCTTGGGCCAGCAAAATCCCTCATCTGGGGCCAGTCAAGTCCCGAGGATGCCGGACTAGGGAAATCCAGCCTGTACTGGAAAAGAAAAACAAGACCAGGGATTCCCCTTTCTCACTGCGCATTCTAGGATATTTCTCAGCTCCACAATAAGGCGAGGGCTGGGTGCAGGGTCAGAAATGGCTGGGAGTGTTTGCAGTCCCATTGCTGTTGGCTACCTGTCTCCCGAAGACACCTGTGAGATGGAGGAGGGGAAGGAAGATTTCCCGAGGTAAATCTCCAAACTTTAAATGCAGGGGACTGTAGCAAGGAGGGAGCAAACTTTTGCTGGCTTCCTCTCCCTGGTGACAAGTGTTTAAACCATGGATGAAGCTAGTGCCATTGTGCCGAGTTGCTGAAGCATGTCTCATTAACACCAAGGATTGAAAAGAAGCTACAATAGGGAGCTAAAACCGAGGAAGTCCTCAGAGCCGCTGTGCTTGGGGAGGAAGCTGAGAATGTGGCATTTGCATTGCATTGTTGTGTAGGATACAGGCGAACGCCAGGGTGGGCAGTGAGCATTTGGAGTATGGCATCCAGTTCTGGGGCCCCCACTATAGAAAGGATGTGGACGCATTGGAGAGGGTCCAGTGGAGGGTGACCAAAATGAATAGGGGGCTGGCGCACATGACCCGGTGCTTTTTTTGTGACGGTACTGCCTGGTACTCAATACTGACACCTCCAGACGCAGTACCAGCGCCTCCAGTCAGAGCTCAACAACTTTCCCCCTGGAGTACTGGCAGTGGGCTGTGCCATGAAAGCTCATGACATCATCTCCATGTTTTGTTAGTCTATAAAGTGCTACCAGACCATTTGCTTGCTTGTTTTCTCTGTAACAGACTAACTCGGCTACCCTCTGAAGCTCATGACCTATGAGGAGAGGCTGAGGGGTTTGGGTTTGTTTAGTCTGCAGAAGAGAAGAGTGAAGGGGGAATTGAGAGCAGCCTTCAGCTACCTGAAGGGAGGTTCCAAAGAGGCTGGAGAGAGGCTGGTCTCAGTGGTGACGGATGACAGAACAAGGAGCAATTGTGGGGGAGGTCTAGGTTGGATATTAGGAAAAACTATTTCCCTAGGTGGGTGGGGAAGCACTGGGATGGGTTACCTAGGGAGGTGGTGGAATCTCCATCCCTAGAGGTGTTTAAGTCTCAGCTTGACAAAGCCCTGGCTGGGATGATTTCATTGGGGTTGGTTCTGCCTTGGGCAGGTGGCTGGACTTGATGACCTTCTGAGGTCACTTCCAGCTCTATGATTCTATGATTCTATGACAATGATGTGGACACTAGTGCAGGGTTGGCAGGCTCTGTGGAGACCAGGTAAGGACTTGGCACTTTCACAGGGAAGCAGGCCAGCCATCTGCCCTGAAAGATCCTGGTGGAGAGAGGTGATACAAAGATGGCAGGGAAATAGCAGGTGGCAAGGCAGAAGTGGGCCAGAAGGCACTCTGACCGTGTGATGACGGAGGCTATGGAAGCCAGCCCCACACGGGGGAGAAGGTAAAGTCCTTTGAGGACAGGGAGTATCGTGAGGGACTGAGAGGGCTTGTTTCATAACTGGCTTATTTCTGGTTAGCACGAGCCCCTCAACTCAAGAGAACCTGTCCCATCATTTTTAGGCTCACAAAATCAAGGCAAACAAAACCAGCAGGTTTCAAGAAACACACCAGAGTATTCAAAACACATTGTGTTCCATGCCTGGAAGCTACTACTGTCTGCCGAGCTCTAGAAAGGGATTTTCCTCTTTGTTATAATAAAGACACCGCTGGTTTGCTGCAGAGCATTTCTCTTCTATCTGGGGTACCATGTTACACAATCACCGGGAACAGGCACATCAGACAGTGCACACCCCAGGCAGTTGTGCTATTAACCTAATGTCAGGCCTGTCAAATCGGATTCGGCCCAGAGGGCACGGTCCAATTACAAGAACCTCAGAAAAGGGTTAGAGTTGGAAAGCGGGAATAAACCAGTTTTAAGTGCAGTTGCTCATCCAAGCCCGTAAACTTCCCGCATACCCCATTACATTATAGTCATCATGAGTATTAATCAATTATTTCAACTCGTTCGCATGGAAAGCTGTGAGCATTTTAGGATACTATAAATCAACCTTGCAGGCAAAAGAATAAATACAGGGAGACAGCTGTACGGATCTTACTGTCACACCAATCACCGCTCAAAAGCTCACACAAATAGCAGGCAACATTCACCCCCTCTGGAAGGCCTGTGACTTCTCTGGTTGGAACTGCACCAGCGCCAGCGATAAAACCAGCCCCTTTGGAGTACATGGAACTATAGACGCCAGATCCAGCGACCAGTAGCACGAGCAATTTATCATAGACGTGTCACTAAAAATGACATTTTCCCTGGCAAACCCATTAAATGCTATTGGCTTAATTAAGGCCCCTGCTGAGCCAAGCGATACAGAGGTGGGAGAGGCGGGAGAAGTTCTCGTCTCTGAAGGAGTGATGCCTGTCTTCACTGAAAGCTCGCTGGGTATTGGGAAGAGCAAGCAGAACAGGGGTTCGCGGGCGCTCCCTCCCTGCCCAGGGGCCTGGTGACTCTGTCAGCTCGCCTAGTAGAGTTTGGCACAGCTTGGGAAAGTGCAGCCAGTGCCTTCCCCATCCTCAGTGCCTGGATGTGTAGAGCCACCATACCACCCAGATACCCTGCTTTGGGAGCTGCTGATGCTGCTGGAAAACCTGGGTGGGACAGCCCCCTCTCTGCTTTATGCCAGGGGTGGGCAAAAGCCTCTCAGCTCCGGCCTGCATGGCAGCTCCCGGCCCCGCCCCCTAGTGCATTGCCTGGGGGACGGAGCCACACCTGCCCTTTTAACTGCTCGCGCCTTCCTCACGCCTGTCAGAGAACACGTTGCTTGGCAGCCACGGGGAAGGCGCGAGCCCTTTAAATAGAAGCAGTTGAAAGGGCTAACGCGTCCCAGCTCCCTGGCAACCTGCTAGTGGCTGTGAGCCCTTTTAACGGTTTCTATTTAAAGGGCTCGCATGAGGCCCTGCCCCTTCTGCCTGAAACCCCGCCCCTTCCAGGTCAGCACGCAACCAGGTCTGAAATGTGTGAAGCGGTCCCCCTTCAAAAATTGTTTTTGTCTAAAGCATCTTTGAGTTGTGCCTATTTATTCATAAGCCGAATTCCATAAAACATGCGAGGTGTCACACTTAGGGTGCCTCCATAATGTGCTCTTATAACATCCAGAGGGACACCGCGGCATTTTCTGGGAAGAGCTGGCAAACCATATAACAAACTTCCCACACATAAGTGCTGTGAAGCTATAACTCAGGATCACGACAAATTGCAATCAAAGCAATTTGGAGTACTAAACCCTCAGTAAAGGGCAATCTCTGGGACTCACTCCAACACAAACTATGGTCCCTTCAAATACAGAATATTCATTGAACAAGTGTGAGCATATTCTTACTGGGAATGCAACACACCGTACCTAAGAATAAAACCACTCGTTTACAAATCGCCAGCTGGTTCAGGACAGTGTAGACCTCGTGCCTAGTAACACAGAGGAGTTGAAGTACATATTCGGGTACACGTCACCCCAGGGTTCTGCTCCTCCCACTGATTTTCCCACCAGAGAACACCTGGGCTATGTCTACACTGGCAGCTTCTTCCACAAGAACAGCTGTTCTTGTGCAAAAACTTGCCGGCTGTCTACACTGCATGCACGTTCTTGCACAAGTAAATTTACAGTCTAGCGTTGGAAAACAGGGCTTCTTCCGGAAGAGTTATTCCTCTCCCCATGAGGAATAAGCCCTCTTGCGCAAGAGCTCTTGCGCAAGAGGGCAGTGTAGACAGGCAACATGAATTTCTTGCGCAAGAAACCCCTATGGCTAAAGTGGCCATCAGAGCTTTCTTGCACAAGAAAGTGTCCATACTGCCATAGACGCTCCTGCGCAAAAGCACATGCCAGTGTAGACGCGCTCTTGTGGAAGACTTTTTGCGCAAGAACTCTTCCGCCAAAAAGTTCATGCGCAAGAAGCTGCCCATGTAGACGTAGCACTGCTTTGATTCAATACTGGGCCCCAGCTAAAAGCCCTTGCGGTACTGGCCCAAATTGCAGATACGTTGGTTCCTCCTGGGCAATTGCAGTTCATGACTTCTCCCAGCTGCTGCATTTCAGTGGAACCACCTTTCTCTAGAGTGACACTCAGGTTTGCGAGACAGAGAGATCTCTTGGCCCCTGCCCCACCACTCTGGAATTCGCCCCTGGAAGAGAGCAGAATGGCCATGACCTTCCGCACCGCCAGAAAATAATGCCAATCCCACTGCTGCCTACAATAGTCTACCTTCTTTATGCCCACCCACCAAAATCCCCACCTGACTTAAAAACAGACCCAATGGCTCTACAGGGACAGTGACAAAGACTCCCCTAGTGGGCCATATGGAAGAGGAACCTTGACAGCGAAGTGAGACCCACCTGTCCCTGTCCCTTGCTGTGGTGCTGAGCTTCCTGGTGGTCTTTCTAAGCATTCTGGGTCTCAGAACATTTGTGAGCAAGAGCCAAGCATGCCACTGCCTCCAAACTTACCATCAAATTGAAGAGGCCTTTGACGTAACCTGGTGACGTGGAAATGTGAACCGCCCAGCTTGGTTTCCCACGCCAGTCTCATAGGGTTGCCAGCCCTCCTGGATTGTCCTGGAGTCTCTAGGGATAAAAGATTCATCTTTAATTAAAGATTATGCCTTGTGATGAAACCTGCGGAATATGTCCAACCAAAGTTGGCAACCCTAACTCTGGAAGAATGAAAAAATAAAATCAGGCCATTTTCTGATCACTGGCACTTTTTATTATACATTGACGGGGCGTGCTGCATGCCGCAAACACAGAGCTTAAACTCCAAACAGTAGAGCAATCAGACACCAGCTACACAGGGAGAGATAGAGCCTCAGGCTGGGTTTTGTTTGTAAAGATAATTGGTGAGAGAAAGCTTTTGGACAGATACTGATGGGCTTCGGTCAAAGCAGGACATGAATAAAGAGAGACTACATATCTAGCACACTGAGACAGGCATTCAGGGGACCGGTCACGTTAACTACTCACATCTGGAAGGCTCTGATTTCAGAGCAAACTTCTTTTTGGATGTGGATTCTTCATGTGGATTCTTACCCCTGCTACCTGTTTCAGTGTAAACCTTGAGGGTCAACCAAACAGGAGATTCTGACATCTGAAAAAGAGTTGGTGTTATACTCATCTTCTCTGGGGTAGGATCCATTGGGTTGGGTTGGAAAAAGGAGAGGGAAGGATAAAACATTTGTTTTTACGCCTATGCTATAGTTACCACAAACTCAGACCTCAAGGAAATCATCCTGCTTCTCTGTAGAAGCATCATCAGTAGGAGCCAAGTGTGTATGCCTGTTGTAAGAGCTGAATATTACATTTTGTTTCAGTGGGAGCCATTAGGCTTGGTACATGGTCTCATCAGGGAGTGATTGTGTATCACAATGTGCATTTCCTAGTAATAATAATGTTCTCATGGAGATGAGCTGAGGCGCTTTGACCTACTCTATGAACCTCCAAACTCAGCAGTTCTGTTCAGTGACCCAGAATTGTGTGAAGAGTTGCTGACCACTGGGCAAACTGGGCGGGGGGGCAACCCCTTAGAATATCACCATTCTGAGAAGCCAGTGATCCTGCTAGTACTGGTTGACATTGTGCTAATGGGGGGGCAGTAATTTTTGATGGGGGGGGCCACTCCAAGAATTTGGAAACTGGTCAAGGGCCACACTCTTCCATGATATTAATGGAGGAGGTGTGGGGTTTGGAATGGAGGTTGGGTGCAGAAGGGACTTTAGGGTAAGGGAGGGAGTTTGGGTGAAGGAGGCAGTGTGACCTGGGACACTGGACTGGGGTGCCGGGGGTTGGATTGTGACCTAGAGCAGGGAATTGGGGTACAGAAGGGTATGCAAGGGATTGAGGTGCAGGGGTTTGGGTTGTGAGCTAGGCAAGAGAGGACTGTGATTTGGGGCAGGAGATTGGGATACCAGCTCTGGAAGGGGATATAGGTGCAGGGGGGGCAGAGGATTTGGGTATGTGGTATAGGGAGTAGGAGTGGGGGGGCAGAGGTTTGGGCGAGGGAGAGGTTGAGGTGCCAGAGGCAGGCTTTGGCCAGGGGACTTACCAGCCAGCAGCATTTTCCTGAAGCAGCCTCCCTGCCTGCTCCATACCCCCACAGGCTGCAGCCATGTCCTCTGTGAATAACTACAAGTCCAGAGGGGAGGGGGCATGGTGCTTCTTGGCTGCCTGTTATTGAAATAGACAGCTCCCAGTGGTCGGTTTCTAGCCAAAACCCACCAATGGGATTGTGCTGGGGGAGGGAGCAGCTCCTAAAGCCTTCCCCTCTCCCCTCCAGGCTCACAGATTGTAAAGTGAAACCCCCCTGCCTGGGGCTCCCTGCTGCATCCACAGGTCAGATTCGGTGGCTTGGCAGGCTGAATCCAGCCCTCAGGCCATATTGTGTCCAGGCCTGTGCTGATGGAACGGGGAGATGGCATATACTTCAGAGCACCTGCAAGGAAAGAGACCTTTGGAAGCAGAGCTGGGTGGGAACAGCAAAACAAAAATATCATGAATACTCTGTTGCTAGGATTTGGTGGTTTCTGAATGTTTGAGTGAGTGTCATTCACAGGAATGTTTATGGGAAGCAGCAGCATCGTGAGCAATAGCGTGCCTACACATTTCCAAGGATATTTTCCTTGGACATGCTCCCAGGGCCATTCTGAAAGTGCCTTTATATTATTCACACACTAGGTTGGTCAAAAAACAGGACTATGTAGCACTTTAAAGACTAACAAGATGGTTTATTAGGTGATGAAAGCTCATCACCTAATAAACCATCTTGTTAGTCTTTAAAGTGCTACATAGTCCTGTTTTTTGACCAACCTAGTGTGTGCTAGGTTGATCAAATCATTCTGAATGTCCACAGATAATCTCTGAATGGACGAAAGGGATTTAGATCGGCCGCTCAGGGAAGACAAAGCATGCCATTGCATTCAGGTGGCCAACCACAGAGAACACTCACAGCGATCCATTCACAACCAAGGAATAGACAAAAACGGGTTCATCTGAACTATCTGAATGATGGTGAATGAAAATATCAGTAAAATATTTGTGGATCATTTGCAGAACAACAAATGGGCTTCATTCGTTGGATACATTATTCACAAAGAATTATGTGACCAGTTTTAGTGAAAGATACTATAGTGAAATCTTTGTTATCGGCACTCTGTTAACCAGAAAACTTTGTTAACCAGCATTGCCCTCAGCCACAATACTGTCACATCTTCAGGCGCACAGGCCTGGCTTGATTTATCATGATCGGCTTAACAATTTTTTATTTAAGAAGTACTAATCATCTTTAACTCAACATAGAAATGTGAGACCAACTGCCTCACATCACAAAACTACCAATATTAAAAACTTGAGTTTTACTATTATTGTCCATTAGTTTTTCCTTGGTTGATGGGATGCTCAGATAACTGGAATTTTTAGATAACCGGAACAACCTAATCCCTGAGCGTGTCAGATAACACAGGTTTTACTGTAATAGATAACCGGCCCTGATTTGGCAAAGCACATGCTCAACAGTAAGCATGTTATGTGCTTTGCTGATTAGAGCTGAATTTCAGCATATGCTTAAAAGTAAGCATGTACTTAAATGCTAGTCTGAATTGGGGAGGCAGGTGTGGATTATTCTTAAATTAGTTCCTCTCTATGGACCATATAGTTAGACCCCTGCAAATCCAAGGATATCCGCTTTATATCTGCGGGTATCCGCATCTGCGGATGTGGATGAGAATAACTCATTTGTGTGGATGCCGATGCGGGTACAAATTTTGTATCCACACAGAGCTTAGATCCTCAGCTATGTGTGCGGAACATACAGCACAGCTGGAGAGCAGGGTTCTGTATTTCTCTGAGCCTTGGGGGGCTCAGATGTCAGCCACAGATCACTGAAGTACGGATGGCTTATACATACCGCCTTCTCCCCACCCTATGCTGGCAGCACGAGAGTCGGAGGCAGCTCCAAGGGGGTTTTGCAGTAACGGTGTAGCACAAATCAGTTGCATCTCCATGCCGGATGCGGGCTAGTGTATCCCTTAATATGGCCACAGCACTTCAACTGGGAATTCTGGGCCCAGGCAGGAGCAGGCGATGTCCTGTAGCATTCCTGTTTTAACATAACTGAGATGTCACCGTGCATTCTCTAGTAGATGTAAAAGAACAACAACTTCATCTTAAATGGCAAAAGTTAATTTATTATTGCAGAACTAAAAGACCAAGTGTAGGGTTTTTCCGTATAGATTGGTGTACAACGGCGACATTCATCATTGTTTTCTCCCAGGGCAAAAATAACAGGAAATGAACAATAGAAGCCAAATGAGACTTGCAGAGCTCCACGACTAGTGTACTCCTGGAAACTTGGCAAAATTTGTTTAGTAGAAATTTCAACACAAAGGGTAGTAATGTTTGTTCTGCTTTTAACAACTGAGGGTTTTCTACATTACTGTCTCCAAATCCTGACTTCTTAAACTGATTGGCTATGTCTACACTAGCGTGATCTTGCGCAAAAACTCTTTAGAGCAAGGGTTCTTCTGCAAAAGCTCTTCCAGAAAAGAGCGTATACACTGGCATGTGCTTTTGCGCAAGAGATGTGCTTTTGCATAAGAGCATCCGTGCCAGTGTAGACGCTCTCTTGTGCAAGAAAGCTTTGATGGCTATTTTAACCATAGGGCTTTCTTGCGCAAGAAATTCATGTTGCCTGTCTATACTGGCCTCTTGCGCAAGAACAGTTGTGCAAAAGGGCTTATTCCTGAGCAGGAGCGTCAGAATTCTGGCACAAGAAGCCCTGATTTCATACATTAGAATGTCACTTTACTTGCGCAAGAACACGCAGCCAGTGTAGACAGGCAGCAAGTTTTTGCGCAAGAGCGGCTGCTTTTGCGCAAGATCGCGCCAGTGTAGACACACCCACATTGTGTTTAGAAGAAGCTTTTTCTTTTTAGTACTGTTATTCTGGGCTTAAAGCCTGCCTATCCTCCAAGGATCCCCAGTCACTGTCTACTCATTAATAATTAAGCCTCGCAGTAGTCCAGCAGAGAACTGTTGTTGAACTCATTTTACAGAGGGGTAAACTGAGGCAGAGAGCCCTGACATAATGCAGACAAGGGCACACCCTGAACAAGTGGCAGTTGCTGGTAAACATGCCAAGGCATTTGGGGGGTTGCAAAGTACTTTCTTTGCTCCTTGCTTCTTCCAACTCTTCACTATAGAGATGTGCATAAAGCTCTTTGTTTTTCATCTCTCCCCTTCCCTCCTGACCAGCTCTGTCCCTGGAGCAGTGCGGAATCTGGGATAGATACAGATAGTTTGGTTCCCTTCTTAACTTTATTTTTCAAACTTCTCAGATCTCTGGTATAATCAGGTCCGCCAACGGGGGAAAGAAAGGGTGGGTCCCTGGGGCCAGCTGCTCCTGGGACGAGTGATTTAAAAGGGTCTGGGATTCTGGGCCACTCTCACCACTACCACACAGCAGCCAGAACTCCAGGCCTTTTAAATCGTTGCCGGAGCCCTGCATGGTGCCATGCAGACAGCGCGCAGGACTGGGTTGGGGAAGCTAGCCAGGGCCAGATCTGGTCCTTGGGCTATAGGTTCCCCACCTCTGTGTTAAGGGCTTGATTCTGTGCTTACTTACACTGCTCACATAAGGAGACATGCCATTCAGGATATACCGCTGTAAAACCAGCATACGTGAGATCACAGTGGACACTGGAACCAGACTTTGTGTTGTTTTTTGATATATGTAAATCATAACACTGGTTTTATTTTGCAAGGAATCCAAGTGCCTTGAACTTCAGCTCAGCAAGATAAAGAAAAAAGGAGTGAAAGTATATGTCACATTAGAGCCAACTCCTTTGGGAATTATCCCAAAGACTTTTCATTGGTGCCTATGTAACTTCTTTGCCCGCTCTCGTTTATTCAAACATTGACTACATTTGCGCGAGCAAATATGCCAATTGCATGCCTCACTATGCAATTTGCATGCTCAAGCACCACTGTCCTGGGCCGTATTCATGCACTCAGATGGGACATACGTGTTCACACGATGGAGGTTCTTCCAAAATGCAGCTCGATGGGCTTTAGAGAGGGGAAAAGGACAGCATAGTTTCTGTGTAACGTCATATTTGGGGGTCGATTGAAGAACCCAGCGCAAAAACGGAATGTTCTCGGTCTCCCAAGTAAAGTCCAATGCAAAATGCTATAAAAAACTATAATTAATCTAAAATATATCACAGTGCATAATACTTACACACACATGAATGTACATACATACACATACAAAGAGAGCTATATACATTTAAGAGCTCTCAGATGCTAAGTTGCTACATTTATAGATATAATCCCGGGGAGATTGCTCCAAATCTTTATGGCATTACTGGGGTGTGATGCAAGATATAAAATTCTCAATAGATGTTCTAAGTTTGTATTTAATAGAGCTGGAGGCTCTGAGTGCCTTTTCACAGATTGTGTTCCAGCTGTCTGCTGATATTTGAATGCACAGGTCTTGGGCCCATGCTGTGCAAACAGGCAGCCTCCCACGCTTTCTGTGTTCCAGGAGTAATTTATGAGTATATCTATAAAGGAAATAACGGTGCGTTAAGAAGGGGTTATGTAAAGCTCCGAGATTGAGAAGTAGCTCTGTTAACGGA